GATACGGTTTTCATGGAGATGCATATTAGAAGCATTTTCAACAAGTTTGTAAAAAAAATAGATTGAGTTAATAGGTATTATGCCCAAACGAAAGGTGGCCCATCTCGCCCCGTATGGTCTTCTTGCCCCCATCGCCTCTATTGGACTGAATTCGGAAACGCTCATGTCCAACCGGTTTTCGTTTTGGGCTGGAAATTCTCTAAAGCAACATATTTAAAAAATCTGGGAAAAGTCCGGAACATAATTAAAAATTCTTGAAATAAACGTAATAACATATAAGTGAATTATATCTGGGTAAGTATCTGGCAAGACGATTGAAAATCTGGAAAATCAAATAAATCAGGAATACTGGTAACGCTGTCTCGTTTCATGCCCGTAGAGACAACCGACACTGATCCCATTTTTGTGATGGAGTATCTGACCGCTGAAGTTCTCGAGTTGGCAGGAAATGCCGCCCGTGACAACAAGAAAACCCGAATTATCCCACGTCACCTGCAGTTGGCCATCCGCAACGACGAAGAGCTGAACAAACTTCTTTCCGGAGTGACCATCGCTCAGGGTGGTGTTCTGCCAAACATCCAGGCCGTCCTGTTGCCCAAGAAGACCGAAAAGAAGGCCTAAATTCGATCGAAGTTCCCACCCTTTAACAAAATCCGTCCTTTTCAGGACGACCAATTTGATGGCAAAGAGTTTCGTTTTCAAAACAGTTTCCTTCGTGGTGTGCAAGGAGTGATAAAATGAATCCATTAAAAACATGGTTGAATCTTTCTGTCATGCTCTCCCTAGTTAATTGATATCCTCATCGAGTAGGTTCGATGATGGTTGATTAGTGTAGGCGTGTCTTGAATTCCAAGTGCAGTGCAGTGTTATTATTCCATCCATATCTAAAATTAAACTATCGACTAAATTTTCAATAGCGCCCTAAAATATCCATCAGTACCGTCCCAACGACGCGTTCATATAGATAAGATTGGTAAATAGCAGATTTTTAGCGATGGGCCCAATCTTAGATCCATTTCCCCTACCTTGCAGAGCTGCGGTGGCCCTGGACTTATGGCCTACATTGATGCAGCGGAATGAAATTCAATATTTTGATTGCCGAAGCATACACTCAAAAAATTTACCAAATAGGTATCTAATGGATGAAAACCATGTGAATTTCACATAGCTAAAAATCCCACCACAAAATCACATGAATATCATGAGGCCGATGAAAGTCATATGAAAAAAGTGTCGGAAAGGCATTAGAAAATTAATCGTTAAACTCTTTCTTGATAATGTTGTGGCCCTAAAAAGGGCCATTTTTCCAACGCGCTCGGCGTAGTTGCCCTTGCGGAGCATACGGTGAATACGACCGACTGAGAACTGCAGCAGCTGGGCATTCCATGACGGTGGCCCAGTATACCGGAGCACTGGCACCAACGCACTCGGCGTAGTTGCCCTTTCGCCCCCAGGCTCTGCTGCCGCTGCTCTGCTGCCGTTGCTCTGCTTCCGCTGCTCTGGTACTGCTGCTCTGCTGCTCTGCTGCTGGGTCGACGATCGGATAGACAATGATGGAACGGGCGACCTTGTTGGACGCTTATATAGTAGAACAGAAAATATCAGAGGTGTCAGATACTCGCATCTGATGTCTCGGTTGGAGAAAGTATAAGAATATAAAAAAATCAATCGATTTTCACCATTTTTAGACAATGGTTTACTTTTAACCATTTTTCAATAGTTTACAGAATGAAATCAATAGTTTTGATACATTCAGCAAATTGCTAGAAATATTTCCAATCGATTGATGCCATTATCTCGTAAATCTATCGAGAGACGGTTGAGTTATTATAAAATCTTTTAATTTTTCGTAACGCATCCAAAATGACTGTTTTCAATTTTGTACCCCCGTATGTTGCCGAAAGACGTTATCCAACGTCAAAAAGGACTGCATCCACTTTCCATCATCAATCACTCGCGACACAACGGCTTCAGTTCGACAGTACACTGTATGTAATACGCACCGCCAGCTCCTCACCGCGAGAATCAACTCGCGACCAACGTCGAAATCAGAGCCGAAAACTCCAGCGACCGAAAACCCACGCGTCTATTAGCGGCACACTTCGATTGCATTTCTGAAACACAACCTCAACGCACAAACACGACGATGACAACATTCGTCCGGGAGGCGGAACGCCAGCACGCACAAACAAAGGGAAGACAAAATGCACATACTGAACACGGCACGAGCTGAACTGCTAACGTTGAAAGCCAATCGCGAACTGTGTATATTTACGTATACGTAAATATCGTATATACGTATATATCCTAGAAGTTAATATTATTGTTTTGTTTATTAATTTATTTGATAAGGCTCAACCGAATTAACTTTACAGAGCCGAGGATTCTTGGTCACTATACAATACATTTTAAAACTATAGTCAAAAGGTACAACACAATAAACACTTTATCTTCTGCTATCCAAAAAGCCTCCTCCATCAGAACTGGAGCCGCTTCCAGAAGTTTCATTGTATGGCAAATTGTTGTACGCCAACGAGGGTCAGAGCGCGTCCATTGCAGCAATGGACGCAAAACGTGGTCAACACTCAACACATTCATCACGAAACGGTTGCTTTTCAAAGTCGACGACGCATCGACCGAAAGAACTGCTGATGAAGAACAATGAGGTGGACCACACAATGGTTGCTGCCGAGAAAACAGACGATCGCGTAGCACACATCGAGAGTGGCCTGCTTTTGTCGACAGCCGAGTGAACACTGAGAAGTTAATATTATAGATCGTGTAAATTTATGAGACATGCCATGCAATATTCCATATATTGTATGCAACTGTCCACCTTTGTTTGCAAAATTTTTTGCAAGCTACTAGTTAACGTGAAAAGGAAGTTCACATGCATGAATGTTTCCATACATGGATGTTTACATCACCAGTAAAATTCAGAATTTTTTTCTGTGTAGCATAGACCAAGTCACACAATTTCGTAGGTGGTACAAGCTCTAAACTTTTGTTATGAAGAAGACCCATCTCGATTCGTAACTGTTAAATAGTAGTTTGGAATTAATCACTATCTCTTAGCTAAACGACGATTCACCTTCCAAACGCCCAAAGCTGTCCTGGTTACATCCTTTATGGAAGCAGTAAGTACTGGTTGAGAGTCTAATCATAGCCTTTGATGAACAGCCCCGTTTCATTCTAGGACCAAGATATGCAGCAGCAGTGATATTCCGGAGGTAAAACTTGGTAAGATCTATCTCATTTTAACAACAATTATGAATTATTATTTCCAAAACTACTAAATGGGGCATATGGGGCTAATTATATATGAAAGTAATCACGGAATTGGCAAGATTTAACAAACATTCTGAAACGATTTTTTGGATCACATCATATTGTTGAACATGATGGTAACATGTCACTTTATGGAAACATATGAATTATCTCATTTCATTTTAAATCGATTAAGATCACTTTTATAGTGAAATTTCCGGTAGCATTGATAATCGAATCAAAACGAAAGCAGCGGTGCCTTCTCGTTTAATTCCCCACTGATTGCTTCCACTGGCTTCTCCGCTTCACTGAACTGCCCAGACTATCAAGGATAACGTCAGCATATCCTAGATATGCTATCAACCTGTTAACATCGAAATATTCAACCCAGGAATTGCTGGGATTTAAGTTTCACCGATTGATTTAAGAAACTCAAACAACGTTTACTACCCTGATCAAAAAATTGAGGAAACTAATCAAGGAGCCAGGAGGCATCTTTTACAACTAGAACCACAGAAGGAGCAAACGAGAGCAACAGAGGATTTTGAATAAGTAATTCTTCAATTGAAAGAAACGGTTGATGCAATGAAATTGGCTTGTTAGCGGAATGCTTCAATAAAACAGCAAGAAAGGTTATCTTTCATTTAATTCCACTTAATTAATTTGGGTATCTATTACAGATACGTATTTCGACTACAATGCACACTGGGCCAGGAACCGAAATTAACAAGACAAAACCTCTGGCGCATTGGGTTTGCATTATATTGAAATGGTGTCTTTGGCAAAGTTTCTCGGTTTAACATGCGCCTTCATCTGGTAATGGAAATTAGTTCCAATTTTCTCTGCATAGATGGTGCTGCGATACTAACTTTCTTATTTCACATGATAGAAGTTTTATGTGTTGGGCAAAGTTGTAGAACATTTAAAAATGCCCACGGTTTCAAAGTTCTAGGTCTTCAATTAACAAAGATATAGTGAATATCGTAAAATTTAACTGAAATTTACGTTTTTTGTACTATTTGCCATACAAGCGACAAATCCTTCATTTTTAACGCCGTTTTTCTTTTAAGTCGGTTAATTTGCAAGTTTTAAGAAAGAGTTCTCAATGTTTTGGGTCGATACAAGCAAAATTTTAGCCAAAATAGTGAAAAATACCATATTCTTCATAATCCGGTTTCTCGAAAAGTGGCAAGTATTAGCAAAAGGTCATTTACTTTCTGAAATGTACCATTTATCATCAATCAAAGGTGAAAGTTTGCCGGACATATAATTTTATATATTTGAGATATCTGAATTCATAGACTACAATGTTTATTCAAGCAGAAACGATGGAATATGTCTCTTATGCTTCGTCAGCTGCACGTTGGCGAACGCTGTACTAATGTATGCACAAAGCTTCTTCATGTATATTCTCGATGATGATAGTGGATAGAGCAGTGCACGGTCCCTAACCTCACTTTTGGTTCCAATAATTTTGTCTCTGAGTAAAAGAGATGGCAACGAATGGGAGCCAAAACAAACCACCCAAAACTGTCAAAATTTACGGGTGAGAGAAGAGTGCATCAAAACTTCGTGCACTGATCTAATGTTGAAATGAGAATACACATGTACTACTTACTGATTGACTAACTGAAAATGTATGTACGAAAACGGAAGCTCTGTTATTTCGAAGTAATGTTGTCTCTTCCGGTGGATTATAATTTTTGTTATTTTGGAGTATATAACTGATAATTATGGCTGAAGGTAGGTTATTTTTAATTGTTCAGAAGGTATTTATTTCATGACATTGTCCCCTTGGTAAAAATGTCAAGATCACAGGTAGACAAATAAAACTACATCGGAGCTTACCTAACTAAAGAAAACAAAGGTAGACATACGAAACTTCTTACAAATGCAAACCATTTTTACTAGGCTTTAATGAAGATAATTTGCAAACTGAATAGTTTGTATCTGAGGCAATTTTGCTTGATCCTATTCCGTTTAGCTTTATAAAGACATTAATGGTGGCAAAGTTGCTTGGAAAGAGAAACTTAAAGAAGGTTAACTCCAACTTGAACTTTTCACCTGCTCTCAACACAATGTTCATGATGATACAACAAACCGCCACCCAAGCTCCTCTCCTGATCCTATTCTTGGACAATGTACCCCTCTAACCTCGGGTAAGCCGCGAGTATTCGGCCCAACTCCTAATAGAAATAAAATTGAAATCAGTCGAGTATTAGTACAAGACACTGAAGAAGTCTGCACATTGTAGACGAAATACGTGCATCTGTCAAGGATAAGCAAATAAAGTAGTGGAATTAAATGGAAAATACTAATCCTTCTCTCTCTCATTATACAGGTATTCCACTAAGACGCCCACATTCATCAGGATATATTGAATTTCATTAATTATCGGCTCCGTAAAGCTAACGCGATTGAGCTTTCCACATAAATGAACTAGATAAAAAAAACTCAATGTTCTTTGCAGTCTTAGTATGTTTAAAAAACCAGAGCCGTGAATTGAGCTCACCAGCGGTCGTGGGCATTTTTTGATATTATTTAGATGACATATAATAACTATTATTATAATTATCACGGTGGAATTAGGAAAGATCAAAATTTAATGTATTACGTAAGTAAATCATTGGAAGCCAAGGTTTACGATCCTTACGTAACCTAAATATCACTAGTGATGATGCATTTGGATAACATCATTGCCAAATTTTTCCGTCTCACGTTTTTACGTAAATATCCTTTCATCTTCTAAATTTCATCGCCAACCAAATCAAGTTCGACAAGCAATCTCCAAAACGGATGACCTAGAATCAATTTTTCAACTGCTCAATGCCAATCAACGCCTCTTCGATAACGAAAGGAACACCGTCTCATCACAACAAAGCTGAATCATATTTCATCGGTCTTGGGGCAAAATTCTATTCACGTACAAATAGCACATGATGATTAACTGTTTTCGCCCGCTGGGTGTTGAGCACATACCCGGTATGTCAGAGAGGACAGCGTAGTTGAAAGAAAAATAAAATGCCGCAACCTCCCCTATCTCCATGAAGGGCGCCGCTGCTGCCTGGTAGGCTGGGTAAACACAATTTTATTGCAATTTATTATGGAGTCTCGTAGGGGTTGTTCTGCCTTGCGGTTTAAGATGTCCTGATGGACTCCTTTTGTGGTTGACGATCTGTTTATATCAGGTCATAAGAGTGGCCCGGTTCAATGCTGAGAGGTGAGAAATTAGGAGTTGTTTTTGTTTTTTGCATCTAATTTATTTACTCTCCCTAATCTCTTAGGGTGTTCCACTGTGAGATCCTTGTTCTCGTAGCCACTTCGAAACTTTATGTGCACAAATATAAGCTTCTACAGCACGTACAATATTAAAACTATTACTTCACGTTTGATGCACTGCAGCATGCCTGAAGTAGCAATTTCAGGTGAAATGGGGCACTGTTTTCCGATATTTGCGTAATAGAAAATTCGAATTGGAAGTGCATGTTTAGCCTACTTGCCGCCACTTGTGGACTCTTCAAGGAATCACCTTAATGTTTTGTTTTATGGTGTATTTCCAAGTAGCATTGTAAGTTGTATCGAGGTCCTCAAGCATCCCAAAACAAATTTGGGTTGTTATTGTATTGTAATAAAACTTAGTTTTGGAAATAAAAAAATCTGCCTCTATGAACTTTCTAAGGCGAAAAAATTCCTCTATGGAATATTTCTTTATTGTTAAAGGTTTCATTCATCACAAATAATTTCCATTCAATAATTGCCAACATTATCATCTTTACAATCAATCATTAAAAAACCCAAAATGACCCAATTGTTACGTGTTTAAATTAATTCCACGATAGCTTTCGTCGGCTACTACGGCTGGGCATTAACCCGACCGCTAATGATAATAGAGGTAGAATGTGAAACAGATTATAATGGATAAAATGAATTGAATAGCATCCGGACGGAGCACTTAAGGTAGCAAAACAGTGGCAGTTGATCGTCAGCCGTTAGTTTGTGATCGCGTAGCAGTAAATTGGATAGTGATGGTTTTCATTGAATGCAAGCAAATTCCAAAGATTTTTATCTAATATGTAACTCATCTAAAGCAATTCTCCGCAGGTATTGTACTCACACTGGTTGTGCTAACAATCCAACAGGATACAAATTACTGTGAAGATAATTTGTGTCGATTTCAAAAACCTCATATTGCCTGCAATGCATCCTCTTCCTTCGAGCCAGAATGTGGCCCAGAAGCTTACACGGTTATGATGAACTCGTCCAACAAGGCTTTAATTATAAATCTACACAACCAATACCGGAGCAAAATTGCTCGGGGTAAGCAAAACTTCACCAGTGGAGGTTTCTTACCGCCTGCCGTTCGGATGCCCACAATTGTAAGGGTCAACCCATTTTTCTCAATTAAGTGCAAATCGATATGAACATTTATACAACCACCAGCAATGGGACGACGAGTTGGCATACATTGCAGCAGCGAACACTCGGCGATGTATCTTCAAGCACGATAACTGCCGGAACACAGCCCAGCTGATGGCGGTTGGGCAAAATCTGGCGTGGATTTCCTACTACGGCATGGTACTTACGGATGCCGACTTGATAACGCAAATGATCAACAATTGGTACGGTGAATACGCGTATGTGAATCCAAAAATCATCAAAAGATATCCGCGAGACTACCAGGGGTATGTTGATTGACTTGAACTTTGAATTTGAAATTCTATATTTTATAAAACTTACAGACCAGCGTTAGGGCATTTTACGGCTATGGTGGCAGATCGTTCCGATCGAATCGGATGTGCGATGATCAGTTTTGAAGATTCCCCCTGGCTAAGAAAATATCTGGTTTGTAACTATTCCATCACGAATATCTTCGATCAACCTGTGTACAAGATGGGTATCACAGCATCGAAGTGTGCAACAGGACAGAATCCTGAATATCCTGGTTTGTGTAGCGTGAATGAAGAGATTAACTCTAATCCATTTTGAACTGGGAAAGTGATTTTCAGTCAGTTTAGGGTTCGCGTAGTCAAAATTTCAATCACAATAAAGTTTATTCCAAATTTCAATTTCACTGCATAATTTTATTTAGACACATGTTTTGGCTCACCTTCTCGCACTCAGGTCAAATAACGCATCATTCACGTCATCATTATCGAGCACATAATACTGGAGTTACTCTTTACACTGGTAAGTCATGAAATGTTCCAACCTATTAAAATTCCTGTACCGAACTGTAAATTTATCCAACAGTATGGTCTCGCTTTCATAAATTTTCAACATTTTGACGTAGACTACGTCTCGCGGGAAGGTACTGGGGGTAAATCGAAAATCTAAAATTGCGACCGCCACGAAAAGGTGTAAGATTTTGAACGCTTATAGCTTTGTCATTTATAGATGAAATTAAAATCCAAATTCACCAATCGATAGAAAATACCTTTCGTAAGCTGTTGCAATAAACGTTTTTTTTTTCAATTTATAATAAAAAATTGTTTTAAGAATGGACAAATAAAAAGTGATAATGTTATCACTGTTTTCATGAAATAAACGTTATCCCCAAACCCAGTCCTCATAATCAAGTACAATTTGGTTGCACATCGTGCTGCTTGAATCTGAAAAGCTATAAAACAGCGCTGCTAATGAGCCTCAACTCACCTCCTTCGGCCATGGCACGAAGAACTGTCGTATGAAACCACGCTGCGACTAGTGTGCTATGGCCCACTTGACGGCGACCTGTGCTCAAGCTGATGACACCAACCCGAAGTGCGTGAATTGCGGCGGAACTCAGAAGGTGGCTACTAGCAACCAGCCAGGCCGGCATCGAAATAAACGTGCACCACCAGCCATCACGGACGAACAATACCCGGCAATCCATCCTCATCGTCTGCTCCCAAATCTTCCACCGCTACCTCTCAACAACAGTCAACGAGCTGCCCCCTCAGCTCAGCATCGCCTCACTGCTGCTACAGCTCTGCCAAATCAAGCTTCTGCCTCGGCGCCTGGACTATCGTATGCGCGTGTTGCCTCAGGTGACTCAGTTGACGAATCTCCGTTAACATCAGAGGAACTAGTAACGCTGGTTGCAGAGGTGATCGTCATTCTGCGCACCTGCAAGACTCGATCTGAACAGCTTCATGCTGCCTTGTCACTCGTCACCAAGTATGGACCGTGAAGCTATAAAAATTGCAGACTGGAACGCTTGCTCACTGACGAACAAGCATAGAGAGCTACTCAATTTCCTCAACACCAAGGAGGTCGAGCTGAAAACAATTGAAGCCATCGAAGTGGAGGTGAGCACATCACTTGGCCCAATCACCATCATCGCGGCCTACTGCCCCAAGCAAACCAACATCAGGAACGGGTCGTCCTCCGGGTGGCCCTCCGCAAAGACATCATCAAACTCACCCGGAGGAGCGGGAACTTTATCATCGCTGGCGATCTGAACGCAAAACATCAAGCTTGGGGCAACGGTCGGAGCAATAGAAACGGCATCGTCCTCAATGAAGACCTGCAAGAGGGCCACTATACCATCTTGGCCCCGGACTCTCCCACCCGGTTGAGTCGGTCTGGGGTCCATGCAACCATCGACAGCTTCGTAAGCAACATGGGACACAACGTCTCGCAACCTGTGGCATTCCAGGAGCTGAGCTCGGACCACTACCCGGTGGTGGACGAAGTTGGATCCTCGGTAAACCGATTCGAAGCTTCCCGGCGCAACTACCATCGAGTCAACTGGGCGCAATATCAACACTGCGTCGACACAACCATCGACTACGATGTCCAACCGGGGACGTCGGAAGATGTTGACCGGTGTCTACAAAACATCGAGGAGGCGATTTCCCGGGCCAGGGAGCAACACGTGCCAGTATCCAGACAGGTGAGTAACACTCTGCACTTTGACAGCCCTATCAAAGATCTCATTAGACTCCGTAACACCATTCGTAGGCAGTACCAGCGTACTGGCCTGCCTAACTTGAAGACCAATTGTAATCGATTAACAAAGATCATTCAGGCCAGGATGGTGGATCTCAGAAATAACGATTTTGCTAGTAAGATCCGCTCTCTCCCAGATTGTGCTAAGCTCTTCTGGAAACTTACAAAAATTCTTAAAAACAAGCCTAGGCCCATTCCCCCACTGACCCCACTGGATCGTCCCGGCGACCCAGTGGTTCATTTGATAACTCCTGAAGAGAAGGCTGCCGCGATAGGTCAACACTTCGTCAGCTCCCATAATCTCGGACAAAACATCGTCAGCCCTCATGAATCTGAGGTTGCTGAAAATGCAACCAATCTTCTTCAGATTCCTAACATTTTTCCAGAGGAATCCGAGATTACGGCTGACGAACTGTTGGCCTATATCAAATCATCTAAAACATGAAGGCCCCAGGTTTCGACAACATCCTGAATCTGGAACTCAAACACTTGAGTTCCAGATTCTACAACCATCTGGCACTGATTTTCAATCAGTGCCTCAGACTTGGCTACTTCCCCTCGTGTTGGAAGTCAGCTAAAGTCATACTCATTCGGAATCCTAGGAAGTATCCGTCCTCTCCTTCAAGTTATCGACCAATCAGCCTTCTCTCAGGGTTATCAAAACTGTTCGAAAGAGCACTGTACCACCGGCTCCTAACATCTGCCGATGAAAACAACTTGTTACTCGAGGAACAGTTTGGTTTTCGGAAAGGTCGTTCAACCGTCCACCAGCTGACTCGAGTAACAAACATTCTCAGACGGAACAAGTCTGTTTCGAAAACATCTGCCATGGCGTTGTTGGACGTTGAAAAAGCGTTCGACAATGTCTGGCATGATGGCCTGGTGTTCAAATTGCAGCAGGACGGTCTTCCAATCTTCCTAGTGAAGATCATAAACAACTATTTATCAGACAGGACGTTCTCTGAATGGCATCACATCGGATGCTTTTAACATCGGTGCCGGGGTTCCACAAGGAAGCATCCTTGGCCCCATCCTATTCAACCTGTTCACCTCCGATATGCCGGCTCTCCCTGATGGTGGATCGTTGTTTCTGTTCACAGATGACCCATCCATCGTCTACAAGGGTAGGGTCATCGGAGCTCTGACTGCCAAACTTCAGAGAGGCCTGAACGTCCTGTCTGAATATTTCAACTGCTGGAAGATCTGTATCAACGCGGCAAAGACCCTGGTCATTATCTTTCCACACTCTAAATCTCCTAGACTTGTTCCGTCGGAGAATAACAAATGGAATGGTCCAAAGAGGTCGTGTACTTCGGGCTAACACTAGACAGCAAGCTTCTTTTCAGGGAGCACGTTGACAAAACAAAAACCAAGTGCAACATCTTGATAAGATCGTTGTATCCACTTATCAACAGGAAGTCAACCCTGTCCCTGAAAAATAAGCTTGCTGTCTACAAACAAATCTGGGAGAGTTGCGCAAAATGCCATCACCTTAAACTCCAAAGGATCCAGAAAAAGATTCTTAGGATGGTCCTAAACAGTCCCCCGCGGACTAGAAATTCTGAGATCCACCTCCTGGCTGGAATTCAGACATTAGAAGAACGGAGAGTATTCATCCTGGAAAGGTTCAGAGACAACTGTCTGAGATCAAATCATCAGATCATACGTGATCTAGCACGTTAGGTTAAGTTATACTCGTAGTTAGGTAGGTTATCACTTTTTTCAATTCAAATAAAAAGGGATATTCTGTAAACTAGTTGAAAAACGCAAATATTAAATTAGAATATCAAATTAAACAAAGATGAAAAAAAAAAAAAAAGATGAAGAGCCAAGTAGGCTAATCAATTAAAATGATAAATCAATGTACTAGGGGAATTTACGTATTCTCGGCAACCTAAGCAGCGACCTTCTTTCTATAGCCTTTTTCTCTATGGAACGCACACATATGCAGTATTGGTTTGTTTACAATCTTTTGCTGCCAGCTGCTCTAACAATTTCAGTCGAAAGAATTGTCAAAAACTGTTTTGAAACGCTTTTACAAAGCTCCAATCTTCTCTAGTGAGAGCGAGTATTGTCGGCAACCAGTTTTTCTTCGGCAACCGTTCCATTTGAACTGCATGTAAATCTGCTGTTCTATTATCGGCAACTCGAAATCAGCTACAATTTGTAGTGCGTGTGTTTCATTTCAAGAAAACCCTGCTAGATTGCTTTTTCTCAGTGGTAAAAATATAGTCAAATTGAAGCTGAAAGCATAAAGAATCGTTTGCATGCATTCAGCGAAGTGTTTTCGTAAGAAAATCCAGTGAAAATATTGTTTCAATTTGGGTTGCCGAAAATATCCTGGCATGCCGAAGCCGTCATTTACCATAATCAACAGAAATAAACATAATTTTACTACTTTACTACTACTCCCTCCTGAAAGTCCCTGAAAATTATGCTATAGAACGGTTTATACATCCCCAGTTTTTTTTTTTTGCTGATGGGGGCGAGGCATAGCCAGCCGTTCGAGTGCATAATTCTTCAAGTAGGAGGGACTTGCAATGCTTATCTCTTAGCATAAATAGAGGTACCGCCGAGTTTTTTCAGTGCTACACAGCTAAAAAAAAAGTAGTGTAAATTTCCGTTACTATTATGCACATAAATGGAGCGTCATATATCATACAAATTTAGATTATAGATCGTGTAAATTTATGAGACATGTCATGCAATATCCCATATATTGTATGCAACTGTCCGATTTTGTTTGCAACATTTCTTGCAAGTTGCTAATTTACGTGAAAAGGAAGTTTACATGTATGAATGTTTGCATGCATAGATGTTTACATCGCCAGTAAAATTCAGAATTTTTTGGTGTGTTGGTTTTAAAATTCGAAAGTGAGCGTTCAGAAGGGTCTACTTGTAATGTTCGATTCTCTTCATCGATTTTTTGTTTACATTGCTACAGCTAAGCAAAACAATTCAATCTGAACATTGCATTAGGTCCAAAGTAACACTGACGAGATTCTCTTCGTCGACTTTCTCCTTGAATCCACTCGGCCCAGGTATTTTCAGCACAC